TTTCTGCGCGTGGGAATGACCTGGCCTTTCAAGCGCGTCCCGACGTGGGCGGTCACCTCGTCCCAGCAGCGGCCGAAGCGCTGGAGGCCGTCGAGGAACCGGTCGTGCTCCGCGGCGGACCAGTGGCCGCTCTGGTGGTTCGCGCTCGTCGTCGTCGTCGGCGGCGGCGCGGCCGTCGCGTCCGTCGTCGTCGTCGCATCCGTCGCGTCCGTCGTCGGCGCGTCCGTCGTCGTCGCGTCCGTCGTCGTCGCGTCCGTCGTCGTCGCGTCCGTCGTCGCCGGCGGCCAGGGGCGGCGGCGGAGGCCGGCGTCGGCGAAGCGATTCTTGATCTGGGCAGGGCTCCAGCGGCTGAGCTCTGGCAACCCCGCCATCGCCTCCCAGCCCTCGGGCCCGACGTTGTACGGCCGCCGCATCGCGTGGAACGCCGCGACGATGGCGTTGTCCGCCTCGTCGGTCCACGCGCCCATCTTCGTCAGTAGTCTGCCCTCCGGGTCCCGGCTCGGCTTGACGACGTCCGAGTAGTGTTTCGTGATCTGCATGTCCGTGAAACGCCCGCCGAACAGGGGGACGGCGCCCTTCCAGTCGCCCGGGCCGCCGCGCTCCGTGACGTACATCCAGACCTTCTCGTCGTCCTCCTCGGAAAAGCGCTCGCCGTCGTCGTCGCTCACGGGCCGCTTCTTCGTGCCATCCGCGCGCGGCGCCTTCTTCGGGCGGCGGGCCGGATCTCGCCGCGGGCAGCGCGCGCACGCGGCGGCGCAGACATAATAACAGCATGATCTCGTCTTCTTGTCACGCTTCACGTTGAGGCCGCAGATCTCGAAGTTCTGGTCGTCGAAGTCGACGAAGGTGTCGACGACGTAGCCGTGGTGCACGCTCTCCGCCCCGTTGGCGCGCTTCACGCCGTCCTGGACGAGGCGCTGAAGGTCCTTCACGTGGAAGATCGCCGAGGCCGCCTCGTCGACGTCCAGGACGCCCCAGCCGAGGTTGCCGTGCTGCTTCGTGTGGGCGCCGACCATGTTGCCCGCCGACGCGAGGTTCACGCTGCCGCCGGCGTACGCGACGCGCGGCCCACGCCAGTCGGCGACGCCGCTTTTCGCGTGGAAGAGCGCGAGCGCCCGCGGCAGCTCGTCGTGCCGGTTGAGGCAGACGACGGGCACGAGGCGACCCTGGATCTGCTTCACGTCGACGTGCCACCCAGTGCCTGCATAGACAGCCTGCCAGAACTCGAGCGCCCTCGCCTTGTTCGTAGGCGCCCGGAGCGCCATGGCGCGCCGGGCGCCGCGCGGCGCTGCGTGACGACGCGCGCGGCGGCGACGCGCCTGACGGCCCGGCGGCGGCGACGCAACGGGGCGCGCGCAACGCCAAGTCGGCGCGGCCCAAAGCCAACCGGTTGGACATCGTGATGTTCACAGCCCTGGAGCTGCGCGCCATCACGCCGCGGGGCGTCGTCGCGCTGCGGTCCGGAGAGCGCACGGTCGTCGGCATCGTCCCCGCTGGAGGAACGTCGAGGAGCGTCTGGGTGCTGGTGAGCAGAGTCGCGTGAGGCGCCTCGAGGCAGCACCATCGCGCGGGGTTTGCACCACTCAAGCAATCAACCTCCTTGAAGATATACAACGCGGGCGGGCTGCTCGTTTCGAGCTGCTGCGCTGCGGTTGTTAGGCCGACCGCCGTCGCTCGCAGTCGCGGTCCGGGGCGCGGGGGGTGAGGCGCCATGGAGGTCGCCTACCTCTACACGAAGGTGCGGAGCGACTTTGGGAAGCAGGTGCGCTTCGAGGACCCGGAGACGCGCATCCTCTTCAGCGTGGCCCCGAGCGACGAGTTCGACAAGTCCTTCGTGCTGCGGAACCCGAGCGTGGCGACGCTGGACACGAGCCCCCACATGAGCGAGCACGAGACGAACACGGAGCGCCTCGTGGTGAAGAACTCGAGCATCCGCCACATGGAGGGCGGCTGGCCCAAGGACGTCGACGCCGCGGAGCCGACGGACGTGAACCGGTACCGCAAGAAGGCGGAGAAGGACGAGGACTACAAGACGACCATGAAGAACCTGGGCCCCATCATCTCGCGCTGCATGCGCCAGAACAACACCATCGACATCTACGAGGAGTACTTCTCGCACGACGACCGCGACTGGTCGGGCGAGCCGCCGAGTGCCAAGGGCCTCGCGGTCTTCCGGGACCCCAACGCCATGAAGCGCACGGCGACGTCCATCCACTGGCACCCCGAGGGCCCGACGAAGATCGCCGTGTCCTACTCCATCCTCAACTTCCAGGACTCGCGGTTCACGTCCGCGCGGCTCCCCGTGCAGAGCTACATCTGGGACATCATCAACCCGAACACGCCGGACACGGAGCTCACGCCGCCGAGCCCCCTCTGCTGCCTGCGCTTCAACCCGAAGTCGACGGACACGCTCGTCGGCGGCTCCTACAACGGCCTCGTGACGTTCTACGACCTCCGGCGCCAGGGCGGCGGGTCGCCGCTCGAGTCGTCCGTCATCGAGAAGAGCCACCACGACCCCATCTACGACGTCTTCTGGATCTCGTCGAAGACGGGCAACCAGTGCGCCTCCGTGTCCACCGACGGCCAGATGCTCTGGTGGGACACGCGGCGCCTCGGGGAGCCCGTCGACAAGCTCCTCCTCAACTCGGACACGAAGGGTTCGGGCATGGTGCTCGGCGGGTCGTCCATGGAGTACAACAAGGAGATCCCGACGAAGTACCTCGTGGGCACGGAGCAGGGCATCGTCCTCTCCCTCAATCTAAGGAACCGGAAGCAGAACAACGGCATCACGGTCTACGACGCGGGCGCGGGCAAGCACCACGGGCCCATCTACTCCATCCAGCGCAACCCGACGCACAACAAGTTCTTCATGACCGTCGGCGACTGGACGGCGCGCATATGGATGGAGGACCTGAAGACGCCCATCATGACGACGAAGTACCACTCCGCGTACCTCACGTCCGGCTGCTGGAGCCCGACGCGCGCGGGCGTCTTCTACGTGACGCGCATGGACGGCGTCGTCGACATCTGGGACTACTTCTACCGCCAGAACGAGGTCGCCTACAGCCACAAGGTCGGCGACGCCGCGCTCTCGGCCATCTCCGTGTCGAACGGCTCCGGGCGCCTCGTGGCCGTCGGCGACGCGAACGGCACCGTGTCCCTGTTGGAGGTCTGCGAGTCCCTCGCCGCGCCCCAGGCCAACGAGAAGAACGCCATCGCGTCCATGCTCGAGCGCGAGACGAAGCAGGAGAAGAACCTCGAGCTCCGGGACCGCGACTTGCGCCGCGCGCGCGAGAAGAAGGACGAGGCCCGCAAGAAGGAGTGCGCCGACGAGAAGGAGAAGAAGGACGCCAAGATGGAGGAGCAGCTCCGCACGGTGGACGCCAACTTCCTCAACATGATCAAGGAGGCCGAGGACGACGAGTCCAAGGTCGAGGGCGTCACGCTCGACGAGTCCCACGCCTAGGGGGGGGGGGGGGCGCCCGACCACTCCGCCGGCACTCGACCGGCGTTAAGCACAAGAAACCCCGGTGGAGCGGCGCGGGGGGACGCGCGCACACAGACCGACTTACGGGAGCTTGGCGCGGTCGTCGGGCGCTAGCCGCCCTTGCCGCGGAGCGCGCGCCAGCGCGACGAGCACGACGCGCAGAGCGCGGACCAGTGCGTGACGACGGCGTGCGCGGCCGCGCACGCCGCGAGCCCGAACAGCGCCGCGGGCAGCGCGCGCGCGTCGTCCATGCCCGACGTCCACTTGTGGAGGAGGATTCCCGCGAAGGCGTAGTAGGCCGCGATTGGCGTCGGCGAGTCGGCCTGCGCCACGCCGCCGCCGCGAGTGGCGAGGTTGAAGAAGCTTGACGCGGGCCCGCCGCCGCCGCCGCCGCCACCGGACGCCGCCGCGGTCCCCCAGGCGGAGCTCCGGCGCGTCCTCGACGCCACGGACAAGACCGGGGCCTGGCGCGCGTGGGGCGGGCGTAGGGCATGCGCTGCAGCGAGCGTGCAGACGATGGCGAGGAGATTCGTGTGCCCGAGCATCTTGGATAGGCTCAGATCAACAGCATGCACCGAGATTAGTCGCTGTTCAACTTGAGCCTGTGGCAGAACTGAGGCAAGCTCGACGTCGAAGTGCTACCGAGACGACGCGCCGCGGCGCCATGTGCGCGGCCGCCGTCGCCTCGCCTCTGGGCATTCCAATCGAAAAGAACGACCATTTATTGCCGCCCATCACGCCGCTGTTTTCCTTACTCACAACCGAGCTGCGCCTCCTGCTGCTGTCGCTGTTCAATTCGCCGCGGCCGCGGTGCCCCATCATCCACATGCGCTGCGACGACGACGACGCCGGTCGCACGGTGGAGGTCGTGCTCGGGCCGGCGGCGCCCTGCGCCGGCGCCGACGCCGCGAGCCCGCGGCCGTGCGACGAGCGCGCGGCGGCGACGGCGGCGACGCTGCGGGGCGCCGCGCGCGCGCTCGGCGTCGAGCTGCGCTGCGTGGACACGCGGGAGACGGACCCCATCACGGTGGGCGTCGCGCGGGACCTGCGGCGGCGGCGGCTCCTGCCGGGCTGGCAGGCGCGGCGCGGCGCGGCGGCCGACGTCGCCGTCGGCGCGGACCGCGCGACGGCGCGGCGGCTCGCGCGGCGCTTCGGCCCGCGGCTCGTGGCCCTGCGGTGCGCGTCGCCCGTGCCGCGGCGCTGCTGGGCCTACTTCGAGGTGCGCCTCGAGTGGGCGCGGGGCGCGGACGACGACGCGCGGCGCGGCGAGCCCGAGGCGCTCGTGGGCGTGGCGCCGGAGCGCGACGAGCCCCGGAATCGCCTCGCGTGCGGCGCCGCGCCCCACGCCGCGGCCTTCTCGAGCCTGGGCGGGCGCACGGTCGCGGGGACCTTCGCGCCCGGCGGCGGCTTCGCGCCCGGCGACGCCGTCGGCGTGCTCGTGCACCACGGCGCGGCGCGCGTCGACGTCGCGCTCCTCCGCGGCGACGGCGACGGCCGGCGCCTCGTCGCCCGCGACGGCTTCGCGCCGCCGCCGGGCGACGGCCGGCTCCACGCGACCCTGGCCCTCGGCTCCCGGGACGTCGTCGCGCGCGGCGTCTTCGACGCGGCCGAGCTCCCGCCGCGGCCCGTCGTCGCCGCCGCCGCGGCGCTGCCGGACTACGCCGCGGTCTACGCCCTCGCCGGCGTCCGCCTCGGCGAAAAGGCGCGACGACCCGATGGCGCGAGACGACGGTAGCCAGCTTCAAAACTTCGACAACGGTAAGCTAGCTTAGGACGTCGCCCAGGGGAACCATGTTCCGCGGCGCGGGCCGGGC